ATGACACAAGCCCAAGATTGGTTTTCCAAGAACATGAAAAGAAAACCCATGAGCGAGGACAAGAGCAAAAGTTCCTTGGTGTCGGTAAGACAGCACAATATTTTGTTCAGCAGTGATTGCAGTGTTGCAGTGCATATGGCATAATGCATATGGCAATATCTAAAGTTTGAATGTAGAACTCTTGCCCCGAGCTTTTACTAATAATGCTCAGAAGCTTCACTGTCTTGCTGTGGAATGTTTGCATCAGAGCAGAAGACAAACATTTTTGGTGAAGCGCAACTAATGGACTTAAGAGAATGACCCTCTCTTAGTGACATGCGATGCTTGTCCTGGTATGGACATTCTCATAATAAATAAAATACTAACCCACATACTAAGTGATTCATTTAAAGTGCCTGACCTGACTGAATCAAGTCGAAGGAGATTCAAGTCCCCACTTTTACCATAAGGTGCTATATGTTATTTTATAGATTACAATAAACTGAAGTTGCAATATGCTTTATAGCGCTATTTCTAATCTAACTGGTGCTCTTGCATCAGCTAGACTAGAGTCTACAATCTATCGTCTCAAATGTAAAAAAGGGGACAATACAACACATACTATAATTCTGCAATAAGCTTTGCCAAACGTTGAATTCTGTAAATGAAGTGGGATTCTTTCATTACCGTTATCACATAATGATTTACCTTTTGGAAGATGGGGCAGCCCTGCAGCCTAAGAGACAGTAGCATTGTTTTAATTTTGACACATACTTTAAACTAGTGAGCTTAGCATTGCCACAGTGCTTCCTGACCTTTTTTGATGACAAGGCGGCAAACACCTATTGAATAAGTGTTAAATGTTGCATGTCCACCTGCCATGTTCCACAAAAGGCTTTTTTTGACTCAAGTTCACTTGTGCCCTTCTTTTATTATTGTAAAATGATCTTGTGTTGACAGTGATGTTCTCAGTGAAATATCCCCAATCATACTATTATCAAGGCTACTTTCAAAATATCATAATTATGCAGCATCTTTATCGGTCTTTACAAATCAGTAATGCATTTAAAATTGTATTTGGTCTTTATGATAAATAGTATTAACATATATAAGATACTACTGTAATCACCTAAGTGGGCTACAAGTGAATTTCCTCAATTGAGGCACTGCTGTCATATAGCCTGTCATTGACAAATGCATGCTTTTTTGACTATTCCTTTCATCACCAATATAAATCACAAATCATATTTATTTTCATTATTTCCCATTCCATTTTATCATTTCTTGCAGGTTTCACCAGCATCTTTGAGGACAAATGTTTCAGAATCTTCAAAACAAAAACAAGTTCATTTAGAAAAGAGTCAAGAATGTCCAACTGAGAAACCATCTTTGGTACATGATTCAAACACAATTTGCACTGAAAGACTAGAATTAGCACTTCCAGGTAACTACGAACTAAGTAAAACACAATCTGATATCACATTGACCAAGCCAAGAAACTCACTACAGGAAAAAGATCAAAGGCTAACATCCCCCAAACAAAGCGAAAAGTCTGACTCAGCAAAACCCAGCCCAGCAACCCCAGGCTCACTATGTCAGATAGCTCAAGAAAGTCCAGATGACCAAATCCTGATGTCCTCAGAGTCCACTCCAACCCCAGGCTCACTATGTCAGATAGCTCAAGAAAGTCCAGATGACCAAATCATGATGTCCTCAGAGTCCACTCCAACCCCAGGCTCACTATGTCAGATAGCTCAAGAAAGTCCAGATGACCAAATCCTGATATCCTCAGAGTCCACTTCAACCCCAGGCTCACTATGTCAGATAGCTCAAGAAAGTCCAGATGACCAAATCCTGATATCCTCAGAGTCCACTTCAACCCCAGGCTCACTATGTCAGATAGCTCAAGAAAGTCCAGATGACCAAATCATGATGTCCTCAGAGTCCACTCCAACCCTAGGCTCACTATGTCAGATAGCTCAAGAAAGTCCAGATGACCAAATCCTGATATCCTCAGAGTCCACTTCAACCCCAGGCTCACTATGTCGTCAGATAGCTCAAGAAAGTCCAGATGACCAAATCATGATGTCCTCAGAGTCCACTCCAACCCCAGGCTCACTATGTCAGATAGCTCAAGAAAGTCCAGATGACCAAATCCTGATATCCTCAGAGTCCACTTCAACCCCAGGCTCACTATGTCAGATAGCTCAAGAAAGTCCAGATGACCAAATCCTGATATCCTCAGAGTCCACTTCAACCCCAGGCTCACTATGTCAGATAGCTCAAGAAAGTCCAGATGACCAAATCATGATATCCTCAGAGTCCACTCCAACCCCAGGCTCACTATGTCAGATAGCTCAAGAAAGTCCAGATGACCAAATCCTGATATCCTCAGAGTCCACTTCAACCCCAGGCTCACTATGTCGTCAGATAGCTCAAGAAAGTCCAGATGACCAAATCATGATGTCCTCAGAGTCCACTCCAACCCCAGGCTCACTATGTCAGATAGCTCAAGAAAGTCCAGATGACCAAATCCTGATGTCCTCAGAGTCCACTCCAACACCACCAGAGACTGGGTCCCCTAAGCTTGACCAGCTGCTGTCAGATCTGGAGAAGATGAAACTTAAATTCAGACCAGAGACACTTGACCCCCAATTGTCAGAATTGAGTGATGAAAGCCCTCAGGCAGATGACATTTACGAGTTTGAAGGCCTTTCACCTGAAAATATCAGCCCTACAGATGAAAGTCATGACCTAAGAGTCAGCATGCCAACTGCTACACAGCTTGGAGAAGATACTAACTTAAAAAATGTAGCCATCACAGAACCTGGACATTTCCAGACACCAATTCAAGATGAACCCGAAATAATCTCAGTCACTCCTCATTTTACAGAAACCTCTGAAGAAACAGCACCATCAAGCCTTGGAAGTCGTAAGGATAGTCCTGTATCCCTTACTGACTCTCTTTCAACTCCAGAATCTCCCAATAGAGGTTTTGATGAGATGGAATCACTGAACTTAAGTATTCCTGTGGACAAATCCCATTCCAGCACTTATGACGAAATTGCCACTGAGACATTTTCTTCAGTGTCTTTTCCCAAGGTAGCTGCAAAGAGTACGTCTGAAATACCTCAGGATAATGTTTCTGAGGAAGATTCTACAAATATTTTACTTCAAAACCGGGAAGAACTGGAATCAGCTACATCATCTAAAGATTCAATGGGTTTGACAGAAGAAATATCAACACAGAGTATTCAACTTCCACTTTTATGGGAGGATACTTTTTTGGAATCCATTCAGACTGACGATGTCTCCTCTCAGTCTGTTCCTGATTTAACTCCAGAGACAGTTACATCCACAAGACATTTTTGTTTTGAGGAACTTATGGCACCTACCTCCCCAGGGAATTTGGAGAAATCTTCAGATGAGGATAGGCCAAATACCAGTGGACGGCATTCAGAAGAATCTCTGACTTCAGTAGACTCAGATTTTTTTGTCTCTCAGTCCACTCCAGTGCAATCTAAAGCAGAGACGACTTCATTAACCTCTGATGAGGAGTACAGCCTCCCAACTGGGTATCCAGAGGCAACCATCTATATCCACATGCCTCCAGCATATGAAGATGTTGTGAATAGTTGTGCAGACAGCCCACCCCTTGACTACTCTGACCCAGAGCCTTACTTTGACTGCAACCAGGCTGGATCAGATTTATCAGAAACTGAACCCGAGACAAGTACTAGTGCAAAAGGAGATCAGCCCAAGGATCATTATATTCATCCAAGAGTGCTAAAAAAGGTGAACCAAAGAGTCTTGTTGTCCTCTGGAAGCGAAGATTTTGAGGATGCTTCTCTTGTCCATGAGCCAGTTTTTAAGGTACAAGAAGAGAGTGAAGAATTGTTGCACTATTCAGAAGCATCGGATGAAGAATTCACCTTGTGCAAGGCTTCACAACCACCTACTGTCTTAAAAATGGGAGAATATTGTGATACTGATACATCTCTCACAAGGGTAAGATGAGATTTGGTAAACCACCCCAACCTGCAAGATTGTTCCTGGAGCTGAGCTTTAACAAATGCTATAAATGCTTCAGAGAGGAATGTCTGCTAACCCTCCCACCCCTGGCCACATGAATTGGATCTAATAGACTCCTCATACCCCTCATTTCACTTGTATTTTAACCATCCTAACTCAGCATGTCACTGTGCTGCCTTTAACTGGCTGTATCACTTACTGTAATAACATAAGCTACATGTTTTTTTATAAGCAATAAATGTTTTGTTTTCATTACTTGATGATGTGAAGTGAACGCATGGTATTTTTTTGCAAACGTTTTTTCTTTACTTACAGACTGCCATGTTGCACTTTCCAATGTAAGATATTAAATCAAATTGTAACATACTCAAACTGAAAAGTGCACCATACCACTCTGCTTATTGCTTGCTTTGTAGCAAACATGTTTTTTATCATATGTTTTCATCTATTAAATGTCAATGGATTTGTGTTGCTTGGTCAGGAGATCAGCGCAGAGCTCGGATCAATGTCAGAAAGTTCAGATGATGAATTTTTGACCACCAGAATAGTGCGAAGGAGGGTTGTCATAAAGGTATCATGAAGTATGATTGAAGGTGTTTTATATGAGCATGCAGGGTGTGACTTTCAGAGTGCAACATAATTAAAATAACGCTAGGTCTTTGCTATGAAGTGAAAATGTAAACTGTGTAACAGCCTTTCGTTTCGTCAAATTCCAGGTGTTTAAAGAATAATTTAGAGTTTATAAGAAACCTGCTACTTGATTTGCAACTATGGCTGAACCTCTTGATGGTGTTGTATGCTGTTGTGGGCACTTTTTTATGTTGTTTTTGACACATATAAGTTTGATTCCTGTATGCCAAATATATGTCTGTTGTGCTTCTTTTTTTTAACGTTTAACGACTTGTGTTTGAAGTGGATAAATAACACATTAACATTGGACAGACCTAAGTCAGCATTTCTGATTATTGTTTGTCTTATTTTCCTTATAGGCTGATGAAATGCCTGAATTCCCCTCTCAGTCAGTGATGGAAGAAACGTACAAAGATGAAAATGGACATACTGTTGTCAAAAAGGTAAAGCAATATTCTATATAAACCCCGGCAGTGGCTCAGTCAGTAGGGGGCTTGGACTGTGAGCTATAGGGTCGCTGGTTCAAGTCCCCGACCAGACCTAACTATGGAGTGTGGACTGCTACTTGGAGAGGTCCCAGTTCACCTCCTGCCCTGCCGTGGTGCCCTTGAGCAAGGCACCGGACATCCCCCTTCCCCCCTCACTCCCATTGCTCCCTGGGCGCTGTGCAATAGCTGCCCACTGCTCCTACTAGTTAGGATGGGTAAAGGCAGGGAACACATTTCTGTGGCCGTTTCTCAATGTCGAGTAAAGCTGCTGCAGAGCCACTATTTCAAGTATACTACGTCATCGAGTGGCGCCGAATGCTGGGCATTTAAACAGTCCTTCGGCGCCACTCGATGACATAGTATACTTGAAATAGTGGCTCTGCAGCAGCTTTACCCGACATTGAGAAACAGCCACTGTGTGTGCTGTGTGCTCTGCATGTGTGACCATAAGGGTTTCATCCCTCCGATTCTATCTATTATCACATGGCAGTTTCTAAACTGGTCAGTAAAGGCCAAGAAAGTGAATTTGTGTGCAGAAATCCTCAAGGATCTATGTTGAATAGTTGCTCCACTTTCTCGAATGTGATTAACCTAATGTTTTTTGTAAACATGTGATCTTCCTAAGGTTACGCGTAAAATAATTCGCAAGTGTGTTTCCGCGGATGGTTTGGAGCATGAAGAGGTCTCATCAGAGGGCGCTCCACAGGAGTCCATCAGTATGGCAGAGGGAGATGGATACTCTAAGGTTGTAAAGCGGACTGTACTAAAGAGTGAAGGAGATCAAACAGAGGTGTGTGTTATGTGAATTATGTGTGTGTTCATTATTATGTTCCTCAAAATCTGATTAACATAAAATACCAGACAGGGCAACATTTACACTAGTAGTAATAAATAAAAGTCAATGTAACAGACTTGCTCTGTCTTCTTTCTTCTTAGGTAACATTTGCTGAACGTGAGGGGTTTTCAGCATCAAGTCAGGGGGCAGCTGAAGGTTGTAAGGTCAGTTGCAAGGAAAAGACAATGATGGTGGAGGGGGAAAGGCAAATGACCCACCACGGTGATCCATCTTTGGCCTCTGACCTACCGTCTGCCCAGGATGACTTCAAACAGGTTTGTGGATAACCTTGTTACTATTATTGTACATATTTGATCTCACAAGCTTATGAAGAAGTACCAAGTATCAGTTTTTTGTTTTCATTATTAAATCGTTCCAAATGAAATAAATGATGTTCCCTCCATTTCATGCCACCAGGCACTAGGTTATATAAGTGGTTTTAGCAGAGCAGAGCTCCCTCATGTGGTAGAGAGAGAGACTGTCAAAGAAGATGGAACGGTTGTCAGGAGGTGTGTGAGTGCTGGAGTACACCCAATACAGTCTAGTACTGTACCTGCACCTGTTTGATTGTATGTGTGTGTGACTACTTGTATTTTGTGCTGTAGGTTCAACAGTTCTGCAGATAGTGACTAATGTTTGCTTATGTTGCTATCATTAACCACTTAGTAGCATACTGTAATACTTCAATTTGTTCTTCTATCATTTATTTTCTCTCAGATAAAAAAGCCAGAACAAGGATTCTGCAGCTTTAAACTAGCTTTCCTCTGCATGATATCACAATTGAATGCTGGATTTACAAAGCATGAAATAATTTTTGAGTGTTTTGTTTCTTAACCATAACATCTCTTTCCTGCAGAGCCTTAGGGTTGCATTTTTCGTTGAAACTGACCTGTCTCTGTTTGTTTGTTTGTTTCCTCTCCCTCTGTTCTCCCTATCTAGGGCCCGCATGCGTAAAGGTTGCACCCACAGGCGAACAGTCGTGAAGGAGGCTGGGCAGCGCAAACATGTCCTTCTAGAGCAAGTGGACAACCCTAGAAAAGGGTCAAAACCAAACGACCTCCAGCAGCATCTCCACCAACTCTTTCACAGCTACTATAAAAAAGAAGAGGACGACAACAATGAGAAAAAAGTAGAGAAGGAAGAGTAGAAGAGTGTGTAACCCTTCACAAGACCCTTGCTCTGCCCATGCTAAAGTCCCATCCTAATCCTATGCATAAGCCACATGCAATCCCAGTGTGCACCTCAAAGCTGCCACTATCTTCCCATTTTAGTCCTGGAATATGATCTTTTCATCACAATTTGTTTTGCTTTCATGTTCTGATGTTGTTTTGCCTTTTTGTGACCAAAGAAAGCCTTCTGTAGTTTCCCTCATTCGTTTTAATAACCATGTCATTTTTATCTTGATGCTGTGGTAGAACTACATACATACATACAATGAAAAAATAGGAATACTTTCACATCCACTAACTCACAAACCTCCTGAAGGTAAAGACACTTTACCTGCAAAATACTGGTACTATACTCTTTAAGTAGGTGCTTGGACTGAAAGACAACATCTCTCACACTGCACTGCCTCTGACAACCAGAGTTTCTCAGATATTCCTTACTAGAAAATGATCTCACTCACTGTACTAGCCTCTTGCTCTTTTGATTCAGGTGATCAAGATGTCACACAGAGAAAACCAGACTGTATCGACAGTGAAATGTACTGCTGCTGCTGCTGTGTTTTGTGCAGGCTATGTGTAATCTGTCTTTGGGAATTATATATTATCTATAATCTAGACATTACCGACATCAGTAGCTAGTAATTAATAATCACTAATGTAAAGTAGAGAAGGCATGACTAATCAACATCTGTCATTATGATCCTAGATTTGACTGCTTTCTAATTCAATGGATTGCCCTTCTGCATCTCTATCCCTTCCTCATTGTTCTATCTTTCTGTGTTTTTATGTTTGGCTTTTATTTATTCTTTTGGGCCTTTTTTGTCTTAAATTGTTGTCTTGACTCATACTGTATGAATCTGTGAGTGATGTTGTTCTGTGTATGTTTAAGTGTGAGCTAAAGAGATAGTATTGTCAGAATTATTATAGGCTTATTTTAAACTATGTTTTTCAAGATGTTTTGGTTTATTTTTGTTCTTGAGTTAAGTTTACTAGTAATTTTAGATTACCAGCCTAATTAATCTCTATTTGCCACTGGTGAATACAATCATCATAGGCGTTTTAGAGTCACTTGTCTGATATGAAAATTGGTTTTGGTTTTATTTAATTTTAGATGTGAATAGTTTATCTTTTGAACACGTTTTGGACCAGTTTTTGGTAGTTGTGCTCTACTGTTTTTGAGTGAATGGGTCTGTGTGTGACAGTTTCTGTCAGCAAAGAAAATAAACAACATTATTTTACACAACACTTATTTGCACTCCTGTATGTCAGGAAGGAGTACCTCCATGCTTTTTGTGTACAGGAAATATGGTAAAGTTAGCCACAGAGATAGTTTCATGTTGGCTGGGCAGATGATAAATTAAACATGATGATACATTACATGTTAGATGCTTTTAACCAAAGCGACTTACATACTCAATACTGTGGACAATCCCCACAGGAGCAATTTGGGGTGAAGTGTCTTGCCCAGGGACACAACCACATGCTGACTGCAGTGGGGTTTGAACCTGTGACCCCCTGATCCCAACACCAAGGCTCTATCCACTGCGCCACATGCCTCCTACATACACAAGGCACACGCGCAATGAGGCAGGTTGACAGCTTAACCATACCATTATTCACAGCTCAGAGCATCGCTACTGTATGTATCTACAACATGTAATGTATTTATTTCACTATCACTGTTTACTTTGTGATTTAGAAAATATTAAATGCAAACTAGTGGAAGTTCACTGTGACAGGTATGCTTTTAATTTTGAAGAATCAGCATCCCTTTTCTGTGATGATGCCAGTTATATAAATATACAATGCATATATAAATATCTATAAGGGCATGTATTACTGTATCAAAATGCATATAGACAAAAACTAAATGGCTGCAGTGTGTCTATGGCTGACAGAGAATAAAAGTCTACCAATGTAAAGCGGTGTTTCTTGTTATTTGTTGTGTACAGTATAAAGTGTAAAGTACTGTACGACATGCACAGGCAGGGGTGAGATACACATCTTTTCTAGAGATGTATCTCCTGCGCTGGTTTTCTCCATTTACGAGAAGTGCATTTTAATACACATTAATAAAGCCTATACGTTTTCATTTTTGGACATGAATGCAATCTAGTTTTTGTTGGGGAAATATTTTCCAAGGCCCATAACTTTGACCCAGTTTATCAGTTCATACTGTCCTGACTGAGCACACACACCTGTAACCTTGGCTGCTGTGCTCTCAGTGGTTTGTCTCCCTGATCCTGCCTGTTGGCGTCAGCTGATAGAGGTGTTATGATTCTATCTTGTTATGCACAATGTTGATTATTCTCTCTGAACTAGCTAAATACACGGGTCTGGGGTAGAGTTCTTCAGAATTGACGTGGCAACTCTACCGTGAAGTCAGAACCTCTGACTCTGGACTTGTTTTGTGAATTCTCCGGCCGAAGCTCCAAATAAACCCATCAGTGTTTGACATCAAAGCTCCAGCTCTCCCCGTGTCTCCTTTTGAGTCGGTGACTCCTCCGGCATTGCTACACAGAAGTTTCCCCCACAGTTTGGTCCCACCTATCTTATTGCCACCAAAAACATTTAATGATTCAGGTTATAGAAAGTTTAGAGGAGCTATTGATAACTTGTACTGATTGATATTGTTAGATGTGCATGTGTTTTTATATATCTAAAAATCAATTTGAATAAAACTATCATGCATCTATATTCAACGAGTGTATGAGGATTAAGCAAATATCAGAAAGAAATATGTCAATGGGTTAACGTCAAGTCAAACATCAGCAGATGCCCTCCACCTCTGCCTCCAGGATAACACTGACCAACCAGCAACACAAAACAAGGTAAAACTCATTCATTATCACACCTTTTAGCTGATTTATTTATTTCTTAAACATGTTAAGCCATCCTTTGCCGTGCTGGCAACAGGTTCAAACCATATAAGGAGTGATGCAATGCATTGACATCATACGTATCGTCAAAATAAATGTTTATCATATATTCCCCTTACAAAAGAAGAGACCAATTGAAAAGAGCAAATAGTAAGGATGAAGAAGACACTGGCATTGTCCTGCAGTGGTGAGGAGGCCACTGGTTGGTAGAAGCACTGATCGTCAAGGAAGACATCCCAACATGTATTACGGTCCAACTCTCATTGGACTCCTTCCTCTGGTCTGACTGCTACGATCTTTAATCCAATGCTTTTGTGACCCTCTGGATTTATAAGCCCAATCGTTAGGTTAACACTTGCCCTTTCAAAGGGTAGACTACAGCGCTATGCTATATCTTCATCATCTCTGACTCCTCCCTTACAATTGGCAAAGTAACACGCTTAAAATGACAATAATAAAATAACAAAAACCCTACATACAGTCATACAATACAAGTACAAACATTATGAAAAATGTGTTTGTTTTTTTTCTAATTCTTATACAAAATGTAAGGGGTGCCTCTTCAACCAGGAGTTTATTTTCCCTCCTCTTAGATATGAGGTTTGATATTTACGCTGGATTCGAACCATTACTGTGTTTTTGTTTTTACAACAGTTCCATGATACTGGAGGACATAAGAAACATTTGGGACAGGACTGATGCACAACATTAACATATGCAAACAAACAAGTCAGTGATTCACAAATCAAACAGAAGATATTATAGTTTCATATGATCTTACTTACAATATTCCCCCCCATGCACTACACAATAGTCTTGAATTTTCATATATTACATATATGCTACATTCTCTTATTTCTTATTTCACTGATATAAAGGCAAACATATCTCGATGCAAAGTGTAAGCTGCTCTGCTTTTCTTTACATTTAAATTAGTATTATAGATTGAAATTGGACAATTCAAACATTATGACTTAGCTCATAGCAAACATAAATGTAGCTCATAAACTGGATTTTACGTAAACTCTTAATTCCTCTGATAGCAAGAATAGCAATTTCAATGTTTGTTTTTATCAACAATCACAATGTATATACATCACCAGAACTAAAGCAAGCTCAATTTTAACATTCTGATCTTCCAAATGTTTCTGTATTGCACACACATAAATACACATAAAAATACTGAACTAATTTTTGGGAGAGGTTACAGTAGTAGATTTTTAAACATCTCTAATTTATATTTAAAATGCATACCAAAACATCTTAAAAAACAAACAAAAAGAATGTCAATATGCTCTTTTTCATAATGTTCAAATACGGTGTGCAGCCACCCGGTGGTGGTTTTCGAATGATGTCCATTAATAAAATGCCATAACAGAAAAATGTATTAATACTTGTATCCTGCGATGTCATGTCCTCATAGAAGGGTCAAAGGTCAGAGAGCAGTCATGGGTTGGCTAGTTGACTGCCCTACTAGATTTGCTGATGGGATTTTCTTCTTGGACCAAATGTTGATATTCCATTAACTGCAAAACATAGAAAGAGAGAGAGATCATACATGTCAATGTATACAGCATTTTGTTTCCTACAGAATATAATTTGACCACAATTCACAGCCGAAATTGGGAGATATAAAAAGGAGGAAAGAAGGAAGGACAGCATTGAATAATAACATCAAAAGGCCAGGGCATAATACCATTGAGCATGCTGGCTTACTGGTATTACTTACTGGGAAAAGCCCTCACACACCTGTTGTGTAAGGGCTTTGTATATACTTCCTTTCGGGAATATGTAGGGGTTTACAGACTTTGCTTGTCACTCTTGTTGCACCTGTTCGGGCGGGACACCTTACACTTTTATGATTCATTCATTGTTGTCCATGTTCAAGTTTGGGGACCTCAGTTAAGTTTCAGAATAACTGCGCCTGGTGTTTTCATGGACAGAGGGGGAATGTGGTTTAAAGAAGTGAATAAATAAATGGGGTTACAGCTGTGCCTTTTTCGGCGTATGTTGGTCCAAGAAAAATGCCCTTAAATGCCCCACCTTTGCAACTGACAGTTTCTAAAAATCAACCTACAAAAAAGCAGCTTTTCATAATAGCTAAGTAACAAAGCAAAGCTGGTCTGTCAAGCTTTGGATTCTTTACATGTTGAAGCAGTGTACTTACTCTGTAGTATGGACTGTGCTGTCTATTTTTCTCATTCTCATTTTACATGATTCAGCTGGAAAACTTTAATAAAATAGGTTTTCAGTCTCAGACCAAGTCACAAGTTCTAGTGTTAGCTAACTCTATCATTAGTTAGCTAGCTAACGAAAACAATAATCAGGTAGAAATAAGAAAACTTTAGAAATCACAACAACATTTGAGTGTTAAATCTGCACCATTTAAAATTCTGCATTGTCTGCCTTGATAAATGGATAGCTTGGCAACCTGTCAATTCCATTTTAGTTAGCTACTTCAAACAATTTCACTGCCCTCTATGTTATAAGGTTGGGTGTAGGGGGAGCATACCTGCAACACTGTAGTAAGGTGAGAATTTAAACCACTGGAGATCAACAATAAACAACATTTTGAGTGTCTTTGTTACAAAGTTTCTGCTGTCGGTTTCTTACTGTCTCTTACTGGGAGGGGATGCTGGGCGAGCCCGAACGATGAAAGTGGATGTTCTGCCACTTGCCGTCACGACGGTGCCACACACGGGTCTCTTCAGACTGCATGGTGCGGGGCATGCCGTTGGTATCCATATACTGGGTCAGTCGAATATAGGCAATGCACGCTGCATTTTCCCCAATTAGGTGCACGTGTGGGTTCAGGAGGATGGTGTGCACTGGCTTGTTCCCTTTGGACAGAGCTAGAAGAGAGAAACATTGATACAAATGCAATTATACTTTATTTATACAGGTAACCCCATTGAGACACAGGGTCTCATTCTAATAAGAAGTGTCACTGAGTAACATATTAAATGGTTATCATCATGTCACTCGGGTTTTGGAATTTCTAATACAACATCATTAAGACTCGAAAAAATACTGACCCTACCTAGATTACTAACTGGTATTTAAATAAGAGGAACAAAAAGTCCCCAAATGTTGACGTTGGATAGTGGACAAGCACAGGCTCGCCAAGTGATTGAGGTTTCTAGGACATATCTGGTTTATCTGAACTATTTTTATCCTGACTAAGGACATTTTGCCATTTATAGCAGTCATTATTCATGTTTTGCTCCAAGGTTGCTCCATAACTACAGACATGCCTATGTAGTGCACCAGCAAACATGAACTTTTAAGTGATTGGACTAAATGTTGATATATAAAAACTATTTAGCTCATACCCAATAATTCACTACTCTCTATCTATCAACGCTTAATTCCTTTTACTGTGTCGGGGGTCTTCCTTATTTTCCAAATGTTGAATTTAATTACATTTATAGCATTATTGTTACCCCACCAATAATTTGATCACTGCCTTCTTGGTCATCGCAGCGTTTTCCCTGCACACCTGCTTCCTAACAACTGATTATGCTTCGGACCTGCCTTCACAGGATTTTCTTCTTGGATCATAATGCTGCACGCATTTATAGATATGGCTCCTGTGAGATAACAGTTGTTGTAGTGTGTGAGCTATTGTAGTTAGTTGTTGATGTCTGCCTGCAGTTACACAAAATCTAATGCATATTTTTTCACCGCAGTTAAAAAATCGAATTAATGTGAATTAATAATACACAATCGTTCATCCTTGCAAAGGCCAGATTTGATTTCTGAGTTCCTAGATTGGGTTGGGATCCAGCTGGCTACTTGCAATATTTGGAGCAACCCCCGACCCACGCTTATGATACATTTCCACTACTCTGAACAGCTTCAGGCCACATGCAACTGTCTACTGCAATAGTTCGTTTTTTGGCTGGTAGAAGCAATGATGATGCTGCCATAATCAGTTCTTTGCCAAAGTCATGATTATTTTGTTTACCATTCTCAAAGTAAAAGCGATGGAAGTCATGTCCTTCCACCAGGTTGCCCAGGGCCTCCGGCTCAAAGGAAGTTAG